GTAAGAAACTTCTTTCAAAATAGAAAATAATCCCAAATTTGTCTCCAGATTCTTCATCATGTGGCACGTTGGGAGCGAGGCAAAGTTTAGAGGCTGTTGCGGATGAATGATTAACTGACGCGTTGTCAGCCGATACGCAAGCTGAAAATTTTGCATCTTAAGTTTCATAGACTAAATATTACAAAAGTGTGGGGGTGAAAGATTTGAGGGGATAACATAGTCGTTTAATAGCTACAGTAGGCTGAGGTACCAGTTGGAGCCCAAATCCCAATAGCAAGAATAATAGTTTAGGTGTGCATTCAACATTTTGTTTCCTTTTTGCGTTTATTTTTTGTTTTTGTTTTTTGTTTTTTGTTTTTTGTTTTTGGTTTTTGTTTTGTTTTTGTTTCGCTTTCGTTATGTTTGTTTGTCCATCTGGAAAAAAAATTAGGTTGTATTTTTCATCCTTTTTTCTGTGCTAAAGATGTCTGACTCAGCATTCCTTGAACCTTGCAAAATATCTGCACCCTTGATACATTTTGGTCTGGTGCACTTATTCTAGAGTATTTGACATTGAGAAAATGCCAACTAACTTCAAGTGGTCTTTACCACTAAAAGGAGAAGCCCGACTACACACAACAAACATAAGCAGTACATTTCGCCATTGCAATTGAAAAACGGAACGAATCTTTTCTTACAGCAAAACACATGGTGATATGTGGTCTTTTCATGCATTTTAATTCGGTGGATCCAAAATTTTTATTTCCTTCCCTCGAGAATGATAAGTTCCCCAGCCTATCGAGCCGGATAAGTGTTGTGGAGATCTCTGCTTAAATAGTAAACTTGAGAGAGTTCTTAGAATTTAAGGTATGACAACTTTTGAAACCAGTCAAAGTCAACTTGTGATCAAATTTAACAGAGACCTAATCAATAAGTGCACGATGATTAGTAATACTTATGTGACTATTCACATAAGCATAAATGTTTTGATTCTTGCAGGTCCTTTGTGTTCAGTCCATATTTTGTGAAAAGTCTAACCAATCTTGCCGAGGATGAAGTAAGGCGATTGGACACGTGATGTTGTAACCAGTTATGTCTAAGGCTTGATTTGTATTAGCTTTGATGGTTCGAGTCATGAATTATTGCCGTATCTTTTTCGCTCTCCGAGCCACAGATATCAATCAAAGGCTCTGTGAGCCAACTCGTGAATTGGATAAGCCAATGTAATTTGCGTTGTCAATAGAAATGGGTGTTTGATTTCCATGCTAGGGTATGAATCGTTAGACTGGTAAATGAGCATTATGAGGAATGTGATGTGAAACTAAATTAGGTCTCAAAGACAGAAAATATGGTCTGATTGGGATTTGGTGCAAGACAATCACTGTTCCAGATTTTACTGTTAAGGTTTTGGAATGAAAGTTCAAATGGGTGCTGTTTTACCATAAAACTATTGTTCCAAAATTGAGCTCAGTATTTACTTGCGATGCAAGCATGGGGATAGGCATGTAAAAGCTTAAGCGCTGGATCGAATGCACGGACATAAGGATAAGCATATATGCATAAGATCATCAAAACGTTGCCTTCCTTTTATGCTTATACCGTCTAGTTAAGACTTGGTTGCCTGTATAAGCGTAAGGATAAACATAAGCGAAAGACTTTCAGGCAATCAGCAAGCACTATACTGCTTATACCAACCATGTCCCTTTTTAACATAACATCGATTGAGCGCTTGTACTCATGTTTATGTTGCAGCTGTGGCCACCTGCACATTAGCTTGTTATGTTTACGCCTATGCTTGTAATGCAAATGAGTACCGCGCTTGAAACCTGTTTCGCACTTCTGAGATAATTATTAGTACGAGGATAAAAACAAATACTAGGATGTTCACACCACTCTAACGTTTATTTTTTTCGGAATTCCTATTGTAAGTCAGTGGATAATCAAAAGAAGGATTTCTTCCTTATTTGAGAGTCCATTCCTTGAAATGTAAGGATCAAGATTTCTGCTTTTAAGAATTTTATACTCTCCAATGAAAGTTCCTCAGTTTAAGAGTACCACCGTTAAATATAAGATTTACATTCCTTGTTTTAAGAGTTATGACTTTGAATTCTCATTTTAAGGGTATTTCCATTATTGAATAAATATCTCAAATCCTTGCTTTTAGCAAGTATTTATTCTATGTAGAAGGTTCTTCTTCCAACTAGATTTCTTATAAATGCTTACCAACATTTCAGAAATTCCCAAGGAAATGTAACTAAATATAATTTGAAAAACTTTTTTACATTAATTTTTCTTTCAACACACTCAATATCTGTGATTCTTCATGAAACAAGACCACAGTTTTCAGTGTTCCTAGTTTACCCTTAATATAAAGCATTAGGAATATCCTTCCTGCATGTAATTCACAAAAATTATTTATTTCAAATGACAATCAAAGTGGTTGTCAAAATAAATCATATATTTATAACTTCCAGAAGAATAAGCATGGAATGTAAATGGCTACCATTTGTAATTTTTTACTTACAATCATGTGATTATAATACGAAAAATTACTGAACCAGAGTAAAGAATCTCAAACTAAATATAAACTACTTGTTGACAAAAGTAATTACAGTCATACACCAGCAAGGATATTCATCTTTGTAAAGGGATTGTTGTTGTCACTGTCAACTTATTATTGTTTTAATCTTTAATATGATTCAAAAGAAAAGTTTCTGTATCAATTTCTTGAAGAATATGTCCTAGGTGTAAAACCTCTATGACAAACATTTAGGTACAGGCAAATCTGTAACAAGATTTTTCACAAAGAGAAAGAGCAATCTTCAGCATGATTCAAAGGAAAGGCTACTAAATCTATTCCTTGAGGAATCTGTGTTTGTCATTAAGCCGCTATATACTGTTTATTTTAGTAAATTTTGGTAAATCTGCATGAAGATTTTTATTGAATAGCTAAAATCTCAGCATATTAAGTTAACATGTAGCTGTGCCATTTCTTGAAGAATTGGTGTTAGGTATAAAGCCATGTCACTTTGCTGTACATTTGATATAAATGAAATGAAGTGAGGTGTAATTTAAGCCTTGCTTCAAAATAAAACTTGCTGCTGTGCATGTATCTTAAGTTCAAAATAGTGTAAAACATTTTAAAGAAAGCACAATTTGGGTTTATTATGTCAGATTAAAAGTTGTTGTTGAGTTTGTAATATGGCATGGCTAACCTGTGTTACATGCATAAAATATTGATAGAAAGAACCACTTCCTGGAGTTAAGATCCTTGTCTCAAGGACATAGGGATGATGTATCATTTAACAATCTTTGAGGAGTAAGTGCTCTCTTTTGAGATCTTTACTTACTCATTTTGAAAAAAAATAGGTCTTACTACGAGAAACTTCAGTCACCTTAAAGTAAGGACTGTTATCAGTTTTAGGCAGTATTTGTCACTCACTGTCAGTGCATATTCCTTGTTTTGAGAACTGATAGTTACTCTCATTTTGAGTGATATCAATCCTCATCTTTAGAACTTCCTGTTCCTCACTACAGGACGCATTGTTAAGAAAAAACTCCTTAATTCAAGGTATCTGAAAACAAACAAACTTAACAGTGCAATAATAACATACGTATACACAGTGCAGGTTACACCAATTAAGAAGAAAGAGCATATGGATTGATTGAACTTATGCTTGAGCTTTTTTCACTGCAGTTCCCACTTGTGAACCACTTTCCAACGTTGAGACACCTTCAGGAATACCAAACAAGCCTCAAACAAGTCACTTTACGAGCAGTTCACCGTGAGCAACACTTCAATATCGGACTATCGGCGAGCAGTGACTCGAGTCGTTTGAGCCCGCGGTTGAAATTACCAAAAGATCAGCGTTTTAAATGTAAAATATACAGGTTGATAAAGTTTCAGAAGTTTTTAACAAAATGCTGCGGTGGCTTTACGGTAAATAGCGGGGCGTTAAATGTCGATCTCAAGCTAGCGACGTAGGTGGTTCAAAACCGCCGTCCATATTACATTTTGCGTTTTGCTTAACTTCTTTTCTTTGTTTTCTTTTTTGAACACAATAATCATTTTCCTGGATTTATACATTTAAAAATAGAATTATTGACGCCATAGATGAAGTATACGCTGCAAGAGATAAAAGTGTATTCGAAGATTGGGTAAGCTTTAATTAATTCACAATGGAAAAACGTATACTTTTGTACTCTTTCAAGATTATCATTGGCTTCTTTTTCACCCCAAAACTATTCTTAGCAACAAAGGTCACAAAGGCCAAAAACAAAGGCCAAAAACTATTAAATGCGTTCAAAAGCCTAAAATAGAAAAAAGTTTACAGGAACCGACCAATCGAGCGAGCGCCATTCATCACATCATACTTAAAACTCGCTCTTGCGCAAGCGTAATTCACGAGTTAATAAAGGGCTAGAGATTGTCCTGCAAGAGTAAATAGGAACTGGGACAAGGGGGCAGAGATCTATCTATTTTCGCACGGGAAAAGAGAGAAACCACTAACTCCAGTTACCCCCTGCTACGGGATTGAGAAAAGAGTACTGAAGTAACATCATCTAAAAAGTTTTATGAAGTCCCTTAATGCAACTGAAGCTGCATGGAGCTGAAGTTTGGAAAAACAATACGATACTCAGATCATTTTTTCAAATAGCCAACTTTCTTCAGTCCAGCATATGCATTCGTTGCATCCAAAAAGTCAAAATCAATTATTTTTATCATGATTGCTTGCGTTAAGGGAAAAAACCCGTGGAAAGTGTTCCTATTACTTGTTTTGAAACTAAATTAGATAAGTAACGATTCAAATCGCATTTCTGGTAATATACAAAACCGTGATTTGAAGATTAATGTAAATTTGTCTTTCGGAACAGTTTTTTATAGGTATTGTGGTTGATATTATAACCTTTGACTGGGTGGCTGATAAGGGTTGAATAAATTAGATTAATAAAAAGTAAACAGCGTCCCTTCAACAACCTTTTTGAAACCTGTGGTACTGATGACAATGAGAATGGTATTTCTATGACAGNGGTAGAGGGTCATTAGAAATGTTATCCCATGCTCTGTTCTTATCTTTTCGACCGCGTGTATTCCCAGACTGGCATGAAATTGCTCGCTGCATCCTGATTGTGTTATCATTGTAGCCAAACATTCTGATATCAGGATTGTCACTCCTTCTGCCCAGCTTTCTTTGGTTGCCAAAATACTCCTCTGCAGGATCCTGGCAGAACCTTTCAGTTAGCACAAAGTCCATGCCTTCGTTCAACAGAAACCTTGTTGCTTCAACAACTGAATGGGTGGTTATCTTAAGGCCTTCGTGCGTCTGCCATGATAAGAACATCCTGCTTCTTGCATTCTGTGTGAAGTTCCCCGGTCTGTCTTTTGTGCTCTCCTTCCAGGCACTTAGATAATCAAGGAAATCTCCCTCAAGCCACAGAAATCTTGGGTCATCAATGGATGTGTATGGTGCAAGGAGTGGCTTTCTCTTTCTCAGATGCTCGGTAGTACTGCGAACATTAAGGCAATCGAAGAATTGATCCATCATCTTACACAATCTTGCAGTCGCCGCTGTATCAGGGGTGCTGTAGGCCGTCATCACTGCTGCCACTGTTGCGCTTAGAACCTGAGCAGCCAAATTGACTCGCATGCAAGAGTAGGAGCTGAGTTTGATGTGCTCGTAGGTGATCTTGGGTAAAAGCTTCAACCCATTCTCTGCATCTTGGTAGTACAGTTGTGCTATGTGCTGCCATAAAACATATAGGCCATCATTCCACATATACCTGGGGAAACCAAATAAATAGCAATCAGTCAAAAAGTGACATAAAAATTATTTTATATCTTACAAAATAATATATGCTTTAATAAAAATAAAATAATAAATATAAAAAATAGAGTAGAAAAATATATGTGAATTTTCTGACTCATCTTTTTCAGAGCATCTGAGAATTTTTAGTGTTATATATACAGTCAAACCCCTATTAAGCGGCCACCCCCTGTTAAGCGGCCAGTTATCAAAGTCCCAAATTTGTTGTCAGTATAATACTGTAAATGAAACCCCTATTAAGCGGCCAACCCTATTAAGCAGCCACTTGACAGGTCCCCGAAGGTGGCCGCTTAATAGGGGTTCGACTGTATTTTCATTCAAATTCAAATGTAGCTGGAATGGAATGTTGGCACATTAATAACAATGGATGACATCAGCATGAACAGCCCTTTAAGTCATGATATTATTATAATTACCTAGAACATTTTCCAGAACCAGAATGGTGTAGACAATTTCTTGTGGTCTTCATGAGATGAGGAGCATCTGAGAAGAAATAGATGTATCTGTGCGGAGCATACAAGTTGGTCGTACGGTAGCAAACATCTTTCCCAGCATTGCCATCCAGATCTTCATGCATTCTATAGAACCTTCTGTTAGGAGATGCGCCATCAGAAGTTGTGCCAATCACCCACAGGTTACATGTCATCTCCAGTATGCCTACAGCTTCCCAGAAGAGTGGCATCAACTGGTCAGCTGTAACACCATTAGTAGCAAAGTATGCAAGGTTGAACTTCAACTGTGTGCAGACCCCTCTGATGAGGAAAGCCAGAGCATGTGTTGCAAGCTCATCAACTTTCTTTAACAATCCAAAGTTAACATCTGGGTCGCCAAGGTCAACATAACCGATGAGTTCTCCTGTAACTTTGTCGAACACTAGATTGGACATGACCTTCATTTCGTCAAATAACAACACAACATACCGCTGAACATCAAAGTAGGAGTCTGTCTGGCCTTTCAGCTCCTCGATCACATTCTCATTAAATCCCCTTGTAGGTCTGATACAGTTGCGGTAGTCCTTGAGGGTACGCTGGCTCGGTAGAACGAGGATTTTACTTCTGCGTAGTTCTTCGTAGCAGGATGGCGACTTTGCAGCAAGAGATAAACAGTAGCGGATTATCATCGGATGATACCTCACACCAGTAGGGCTGCTCGAAAACAATTTCTTCTGTTGTTGCCAAAAGAGATTCATAAAAGGAGTAACATCTGATTTCCCAAGAATAGTGGCAAAATCATCACTCAACTCAGGGTCAACCTCTACACTTGATTTAGTAAGTTCAGTTCTCATTTCGTCCAGTTGCCGTTCAAGATCTGCACATCTTAGCCTCTGATTCTGCAGGGTCAGTTTAATACGCTCTGGTGCAGTTTTCGACACTGGAGCCTTGATGTGTGCAGGTTCTGCTAGCTTTCGTTGCTTTGCTTTCTTTGATAGGTCACTAGCATGGAGATATTGCGAACAGCTGCTGCAATACTGCTCATCAGCATGACACAGAACAGAACAACCACGAGACCTCCAGTATTGCTTGCTTGGAAACGAATCCAAGTTGTTGTCTTCTCTGTCAATGGACAAGGGATCCACAACCCTGGGAATTATATGGGGCAACACATTTCCAGTAAATACATTCGTCTCTACTCCAGGGCAAATCAAACAACGTTCCACATGTTTCACAAGGTCCGATGCTGTAATGTTGTTTATGGACCTAAAGTTTTTAGTGTAAAGTTCATGGTCTTCAGGTAGTAGCCATCCGTAAACAAGAATAGTAAAACCGAGGCTGTCATCGATTACTATTTCGAGCTCTGGAATCTGTAACGAAGGCAGAATTTTCTTTAAGACAATCCTGTCCTCGAGTTCTTGTTGAGTCCACTCACTGAGAGTTTTGAGGGACTTGACACGTTTACACAGGTCTCTAAAATTCTTGTAGTATCTGGAACAACTAGTAGTCTCCTCGACAGTCACTACAACTTTTGGCGGCCTTCGAGTCGTCTTGTCCGTTTCGTGGCTTCTCTTTGGCATGTTCCGAACAGGTAGAGCCCCAAACATTGGTTTCTTCTTTGTCATTTTCGCCGTTTGAACTGGAAAAGTAAGAAAGATCATTAGAATGAAGCCCAAAAGAACAACAAGCTACCCCACTATGTTGTCATGTTACGATCAGCTTGTTTATCATTTGGCATTACTTACATATCTCTATGTCCTCAGGAGCGAAGTGCTTCTCGCATGTATAAACTCTGTCACCATCAATCTGTTTCTGGAAATCGCTATCAACTTCACGAGTCTTCTTTATCTCATTTAGCCACTCCAGTCTCCACTTCTTGTACTCGTCGTTTCTCGGGAAAGGCAGCTTCCAAATCCCGATTCCTTTCGTCCTTCTACACGAGCCACAGCCGAAAACCGCACAGTTATCGCCAGGCATTTCGCAATACACAAACACAAACTACTTCTCTAACTGTTCAACACCTGTGTGACCAATAAATCTTTTCCAATACGCTCTAAATTAACTTTAAGCTTTCACCGTTCGAGAACACGCGCACAGGCAAGCGACGCCATCTTGAAAATGTGTGCACGGTCATTGTCACGTGACCTTTAAAAACGTAAACAAAGACATAGTCCTTTGTTCTTCGCCGAGCTTCATAACCAGTCCCTCAATTAACTATGGCCTGTCATAGGGTCAGTATTAGTCCCTTAAAATTTTGTGTCGTGTAGCACGCAATAGATGTTTTATTATACACAACTCGTACAGCTCAACAAATCGAATGAATAAATCATTAAGCAGTTGTTTTGATGTTGTTTAAGTGTAAACGTTCATTGGGGTTTTGAAATTGTTTTTCCTTTTTCTTTATAGAATAGTTCGCTATTAATGGTCATTAAGATGTGTTCGCTTATGAAAACGAAATAGATGTCCTCAGAGAGCGGAATTGGTCACCTACCATAGTTACAAATCTTATTCAAGTATCCAGTAACTGATGGAAAAAGATGCTTACCTCTGTTAAACTCACACGCTCAAACAATGCCACTCTCTTTTAATCGCATATTATAGCTATCGGAGATCCCTAAGCTTAAACACCCTAATACTCAACTTTTAATTAACAATTGGTTCAAGCTTTAGCGTGCGCTATCGAGTTATGGAGCACGCGGGAAGTTTGGAGAGCACGAAAGAAGCGTAATAGTTGCCCGAGGCAGGACCTGAGGGCAACTCTAGCTTCTTGAGTGCTCTCCAAACTTCCCACGTGGTCAATAACTCGATAGTGCATAGCTGAAAGCATGAACAAAATGTTTTAGAGCATAGCCTATTGAATTGTGCATCAAATCCGACGCGAAAAACGTACAACAATATCAATTGAAGCGAATCGTGACTGCGCCGATACCGAGTCTCCTTTTCCGTTGTTTTTCTCTTTTTCTACCTCATTTAAGAACTCTGGCCCAAGGGAACAGGTCAAAAAATTGTCTTCGTTTTGGGAGTAGTAGGCCGAGTCTCTGTTTGTATCCATTATTGTCGCGATGTATATTATTTTTCCCCGCGCTAGGAACGGCCGCTGGCGCGAAAAAAATCTGGCGAAGCGATTTGCTCACGCTATCAGCGTGCACTATCGGGATTTTGAGCACGCTTGCGTATACTGAATTTGATTGCGCGGCTCTGCTAGCTATGTTCTAACAAAAATTGGAACTTTACAAACTCTTTCTAAAGCAAGAAATTAAAGAAGGAGCTTAACACCTATGTTAATGAGATTGCACTGTTATTAAAGAGATTTAGAGGTCATATACTAAACAATCTGTCAAATATTAGCTTATGAATGTATTACTTACAGGTGAGTCAAATCGGAGTTGTTATTGAAGGCTCCAAGTGGTAGCTCCTTGATTTTATTTCCATTAAAGTACCTAAGAAATGGAAATAACTAAGTTTAAGATATATGCGTTATTAACCAAGCGTGACCGCATCTTGACCGAACAAGCTTGGTTAATGAAGGATTTATCATATTACAAAAAGATTTCGCTTTATTTAGAATTGATAATAACCTCATTGCTTCGAGTACAGGGAAAGAAAGCCAGCTGTGTTTGTAGCACAACAAACTCACGAGATTAGTTACTGTTTTATTTGTTTCGACTATCTTCTAAGGCTTTTTGCGTTTCTGTGCCGAAATTGTCCAAAAGTTACGAAAGTAGTTCTTATACTATTTCTTTCATGAGCGGGATCAAGGTGGGTAATCCCGAGTGGGCAAGAAGGGGCGATCTTTCCCGCTCCGGCAGCCAATGAGAACACATGATTTGCTTCATCTTGCCCACGGGCGCTGCTTGCGATGTAATAAGTAACCTTAATGGGTGGTCATGATTCCTATAGTAAGTCTATCTTATTGCGTTCTTTTAGAAAAGAGCTCGGGAACTGGAGTTAAAGTTCTATTTCATTAACATATGTACATATTTTCTAGCAAATGTGATGAAAGGCGTTTTCTGTATTTTTGAACTTCAGCTTTTTCATCAGAGGCGGTAGCACTATATATTGACCTCCTTAATTGCAATTTTCATAAGCGGAAGAAGCAGCAAATGGAGAAGTCCTCCCGATTTTGAGCTCTAAAAGTTACCAAAGGAAAGTTTCGGTGCTTTAATCTGGAAGCCTAAAAGTACATTGTACAAAGATAAGTGGGCTGTTCATGTTTTCGAAATAGAAAAGCTGCACGAGACAAAAAAATGCCTTTTTACTAGAACTGAATAGTGTGTTCAAAGATTACGATTTTAACCAAGTGCAAATTAATAAATTGATAAGCCAGTGCAGTGTTAACTAATTTACTCTCGAAAGGTTTGATATCTGACCTCTCCGTATAATTTTAAACCATTCACAAAAGCTCACGAGTGAAGAAATTGCGACAGATGAAAATGGGTAAACTAGCTGTGGGGGTTCAGCTGTGATTAGACATCGAAAGAAAGTACCACATTACAATCGTTTGCTTTGAAGGTGCATGTTTGTGCTATTCCATTCAAAATGAAGATGTATCTATCGTGTCCAGAGAGGTTTTCTCGACTCTGCAGTATGGCTCTCAACAGCTTCCGCAATTTTTCCCGGGTGATGTATGTGGAATCAGTTAACAGGTTAAAAAGATTGTTGTTGAGATTATAGGCACGATTTAAAAAGTTAAAGGAAAAAATTTTGACCCTTTACGAGAGACGATCTGTCTAATACCTCTCCACGGAACTAGACGAATTAAACCGATTCACGCAACAATGAATGCGCCCAAAACTTATTTAATTCTCCCGTAGAAAGCAACTAGTACACAAATTAAATCGAGAAAGGCTGAACTAACCAAACCACAGTTCTCTTAATATAACCACACTGTTAACTTTCTTTAAAGCGTAATCTTAGGTGAGGAATTTTGACAAGATTTTCATGTCGTGACTGAGCCCTGATAAGGGCTAACTACTCCTGGATAAAAAGCATCTGGGATCTTATGATCACATGGCATTAAGTCTTGTTCACTTTTACTTACCCCATTAAAAAGGAATCATCAAATGAGAAAGTTTGAAATGTGTTGTTAGATAGAGCATTCATCTTGCCCCACCCTCCCCTCCAACACTCCTACCTCCTTAGCCAGTGTCCAATTGTTTCTAAATATACTAACTTTAAAATCATTCTCCGTATTACAATTCTCGCCTAAACACATACTTCTTTTATTACATGAGTAACGCACCGTCTCTTCGCTCCTTACAATTAGAATGTTCTCTACCTAGCATACGAGAGAATCGCTCAGACTGGGCGTCTATCATCCCCTCGGCGAATAAAGTGGCAAGTGTCTCTGGGATATTAAAAGAAACGTCTTGCTATCTAATTTTTAAATTGAATCAGCTCTTTGCTAGTGTCAAAAATTGAAACAGTCACGACGGACAAATTCTAAGAATCAGCAATATCATTTTTGTAGGATTGCTGATTTGAGCAGACAAGAGGCTCCAACTAAAATTTCGGTAAGGACAGGTGTCAATCAGCCACAGTTTAAAAACCAGGCGTCAGTATATTATGAAAGACAGTGTAGTTGCCGGTGGTTTGGATTCTCTATTCTATAACCTCAAACTGCTTCCACACGAGTATGTTACTGGATAAATGGCAATCTCTAAAATTGCGAGAAACACCCACACGAATTAAATTAAATGAAGAACTCTGATCTTGGAGGCCCGGTCCAAAATGTCAATGAATGTCACTGTCAGGTTATATTCGTACGGCACCCGGGTTAAATTATTTCTGGGATAGCCATCAAGATGGGTAAGGAATTCACCAGACTGAAATATCTCGGACTGTTATCGTGTATTAATGAATTAATCAATAAAATCTTCCTTTTGTCATTATAGGGGGATGGTAGTTGTCAAAAACCTTGCAGGGCTCAATTTGAGATTAGAACACAAAGTGCAGGTAACGGGGGTGGTCAGTTTTTAAATTATCGGGTTAGTGCAAAAAATGTTTTGAGCTCAGCAAGACCAGTGTCATCTGGCTACTTGCCCCAGGGTGCTGAAGGGCAATGAGAATGCTGGTCACTTGACTTGTGCTAACCCTAACCCTAACCCAACTGTAAACCTAACGTCAAAATACTGGAAAAAGGTCAATGGAACTGAAGCGATTTCTGCAACCCCAACCCTAACCATAGGTTTATGTCGAGACTCGCCGCTACGTTAGATTTTTTAAAGAGTTTGTTGAAGAATCGACTTGATTTCTATCTTCACCGCTAAAATAGGGCAAAATGCGTAGTCATCATTTATTATTCATAACTGATAAAGCGGTAAATTATAACGCCACCTCGCTTCATGAAGGGCCCTAAATTAGAGAAGAATGGACCAAAATTGACCTACTAGGCTTCGTGAAATTTACTTTACTGAGTTTTAAAAGTGCTAACTTCGAAATTAGTACACGGAATTTTGAAGATTAAAGATGTGTCTAGGATTTGTATCTAAAATGAAGGACATTACATGAAGTAAAAAAATTATCCTTTCGCGCCTGAAAGTTACGGAAACCAACCTTTTGTTGACCCGAGAGTATTGCATATATTTTAATTGTTTGAAACAGATTGCTGAGAGATAAAAAATGGTATGCGAGGCTCACTTTGTTGCGTCAGAGGCGTACGGCTCAGTTCCTGAGCAACTTTCAAAAAGCCCCACGACATTTCATGAATCATGTTGACAATTTAAGGTTTAATTCCGTTATTTCGACATTATCATTCGATTTAAACGTCTTTAATATCATAACAGATTACTTACCATGATTGTCACTGTTCTTTGCCATTTGAAAGATTCAAAGGCACTGCTTCCGCCATCGTGTCTTCCTCCGATGGTTCCACACTTCACTGGCCGCCAAAGAGAATGTGAGGAAATCGTCGGTCACGTGGCTTCCACATCCACCCGAATCGTGTCGATATGGGGCTCGCCTGGTTTCGGAAAAACTTCCGTGGCAACTGCTGTGGGACATAAACTCCAGGATAAAGAATTTTCCGTCTACTTTTTCTCCTTACGAGGGCTAAACTCAAAATCTGATTTGATATCAAAGTTGGTTAGCTTTTTCAGGAGAGCTTCTACAGAAGATGAAATACCCCAGCGGCTACCAATCGACGAAGAACTTTTTCAAGTTCTCGCCAAGATGCCAGACAAGTTTGTGATGATTCT